GTTTATAAGTGCGGGCGGCGTTTTCAAAACGCCGCCCTACCGTTTGGTTAGCACTTATTGGAAAATTATTTAAAAACACGTTTTTGAATTCCTTAAACACGCGGACCGCGGGCTAACCCCTGCGGTCCGCGTTTCACGATAAAAATTTACGGGATATGCCCTTTTTTCGCCCGTGACTTGCCCTTTTTTCGCCACCCGTGACTTGTTTTTTTTTTCATTTGCCTTTCTCCTTCTCCTTCGACTCTCCCGCGACCTCTCCCGTGACCTACAACGTCGAAGGAAGCCGGATCTTCTTCTCATCCCGTCGAAGTCGAAGGAAGCCGGATCTTCTCCCAACGGATCTTCTCCGTTCGAAGGCAGATCTCCTCGCTCCCGTCTTCGACGGATCTTCGTTCGAAGGCAGATCCGCAAGACCTATCCCGGCTCCTCCGTTCGAAGCCGGATCTTCTTCTCTCTATCCCGTCAAAGCCGGATCTTCCGGATCTTCTCCGTTCGAAGCCACATATTCTCCGTTCGAAGTCGTTGCTTCCTCGCTCTCGTCACCCTTCTGTATCCCGGCTTCTCCTTTCGAAGCCGGATCTCCTCTGTTCGAACTTGTTGCTAGACGCAGAAGGGAAAGGTCTTGCGGATCCCGGCCTCGCTTCGATTGCACACCGTTGAGGTTCTTGGTAATGTTGTTTGGTTGAGTACTACATATGTAAATGCACGAAGAATTGGATGGCATGCCTGCAAGTGTGTGTTGAGGTTCTTCTCAATCTTGTTTTATGGAAATCTGAGAGAATATGCTCATTATGTGGAAAACTGAAATATTCTGTAGTTTGAACTAAAGTTTTATTTATTTTAACAATCAGCAGAAATAATTGTTCGGTAGTTTGAACTAAAGTTTTATGCCTCATAAATATGATATGGTTTAAAATATTATTCAAATATTTATCATTTTGTGTTTTGATTGCTTACACTTGTAGCTGAAAATATTGTTGTTCTTCTCTTTAGGTAAATCACTTCTGTTTAGTGATATAGAAAGTGAAGAATGAGCGTTAAAATATTGTAGCTGAAAATATTGTTTTGTGATTTCTTAGAGGGTTGATATAAAAAGTGTTCTTTTGTTTAGTGATTTTTTTGCCATGAAAAGAAACATTTTGTGTTTATCCATTAATCTGACAAAATTTCATGAGTAAAGCTAAAGAGGCTGGTACATTAGTCATGTGGGATAGAGAAACTACTATGATCTTTTGTGATTTATGTGTGAGGGAGGTTGAGGTGGGAAATAGACCCACTACATTTTTTAATAAAGAAGGCTGGCGAAATATCTTGGTTAAATTCAAAGAAATGACTGGAAGAGATTACGATCGCATGAAAATGAAAAACAAATGAGACCAGTTAAAGAAGGATTGGAAATTATGGAAAAAACTCAAAAGGGGATCAACGGGAATGGGCTGGGATCCAGTTAAGCGCACAATAGATGCACTAGAAGAATAGTGGGCTGAAAAACTACAGGTGCATAATTAACGCTTTTTTATTTTATGTTCAATCTAATTTTGAATTAAGTTGTGACTATTTTATTAATGCACATTTGTTATCTTTATCAAGCAGTCCCGTCAGCAAAAAAATTTAAATTCGTAGGCATTGATCCAGTAATGGAGGAAAAACTAGATGGAATGTTCACTGGTGTTGTCGCTACAAAAAGTCAGGCGTACACCCCAAATGATATAGGGTTTGGCAGCTCAGCCCAAGAGATGGATACCGTGGCGGTAGGAGAGTACGATCGCATGAAAATGAAAAACAAATGGGACCAGTTAAAGAAGGATTGGAAATTATGGAAAGAACTCAAAAGGGGATCAACGGGAATGGGTTGGGATCCAGTTAAGCGCAAAATAGATGCACCAGAAGAATGGTTGGCTGAAAAACTACAGGTACATAATTAACGCTTTTTTATTTTATGTTCAATCTAATTTCGCATTGAGTTGTGACTATTTTATTAATGCACATTTGTTATCTTTATCAGGCAGTCCCGTCAACAAAAAAATTTAAATTCAATTGATAAGTGTCTTCAGGTCCTTAATACATATTCTGATGTTAAGGCAGACGATGATGACTACATTCAATACGTGAAGGTGTTACGAGATCCAACCATCAGACAATTTTTTATGAAGTTGGAACTGAAATACCGAGTTAAATACTTGTGATCTTTTATGGACATCTGAATATTTGAGTTATTGATGGACTTTAATTTCTGTTGTTCTATGTTATGTTTATGTTATGCAGACTTTTTTAATCTCCTTCGTGGATGTTTTGGACAGTTCACCTTTTTGCCCAAAGTTCATGTGTTCTATTTATTTTTCATAGCATACTTTTGTTTTTATTACTAAAGTTAATTCATTTTCCTTTTAATTATTTTGTAGTATGGATGAAGAAGATATCCACCACATACGCACAGTTGCATTTACCCTTACTTTATTGTATTATTACTATCTCAAACACGTTGACTGAAACCCATGTATGACTTCAACTCAAGTAGGAGACAGATGGGTTGGTGAGTTATTACGGGGTCATCCAACACGGTTCTTTAATATGTTTCGTATGACACAAGAAATATTTCATGATCTTCTAAATGAACTCTGGATCAATCATGGGTTTCACGGCTCTGCAAGAACAACCCCAAGGGAAGTGCTTGCAATAACTCTATACATCTTATCTTAAAACGAATCAATAAGAGGGGCTATGGAGCGTTTCCAATATTCATCCGAAACCATCAGCCGATATTTCTTAGCGGTTTGAACTCTCTTGTGAGTTTGGCCCAGAAGATAGTGAAGCCTGAGGATCCAACGTTCCATTCAATTCCTTCATAAATTGCAAATGACCCTCGATACATGTCATTTTTTAAGACCTGTCATTTTTTTTAAGACCTGTCTGTTACCATTACATTTATCTTTCTACTTTTATTACATTACAGTTTAAAAACTCTCTAGCTGTAACTCAAGGATTGTATTGGAGCTATTGATGGGACACACGTCGATGCACGATTATCTAGTGAAGAAAAAGTTGCGTTCATCGGTCGATGCAGCTCCCCAACACAAAATGTTATGGTCGTATGTGATTTCAATATGTGCTTTACTTTTGTCATGGCTGGATGGGAAGGAAACGCTCATGATAGTTGTGTTTTCAAGTTCGCTACCAGAAACTTCAGACATGGATTTCCGTACCCACCTCTGGGTAAATACTATTTGGTTGATGTTGGATATCCATTGCAAAGGGGATATCTAAAGCCCTATCCAGATATGAAGTACCACATTCCTGATTTTGAAAGATCTAGTAGTGTCGCACGAGGCAAAAAAGAGGCTTTTAACAAAAGACACTCTTCATTGCGCGGTGTAATTAAAAGAGTGTTCGGAGTGTGGAAGAAGAAGTGGGTCATATTACAGGATATGTCGTCATACCCTTTTCCAAAGCAAGTACAAATAGTTGTTGCCACAATGGCGCTACACAATTTCATCCGACGCCACCCTTCCAGATCGCAGACGGAGTTTGCCATTGTAGAAGATGATTCAGTTCAAATCCCACCTGAAGCATTTGAATATTATGTGGGATTTGAATATGGACGTTCAATACATGAAGAGTTTGGTTCAGAAGATGCATGCATTCGAGAGGGTGAAGGTGCATCAGAGATGACGACTTTACGAGAACAAATAGCAGATGATATCAGCCGGTCATGATATCAGCAAAGGCATAAAATACATGTTGTCTTGTTGTGTTAGTTTGTGTGTAACGGTTTTTACTTTGGTTTGTCACAGCAGTATCAGTTTCTACTCTAGGTTTTTTGTTTCAGAATAAAAGCTGAAAGCACAATGAATTTGCATTTTATAATGCGGAAAGCTTGGTAATGTTGTTTGGTTGAGTACTACATAAGTAAATGCACAAAGAATTGGATGGCATGCCTGCAAGTGTGTGTTGAGGTTCTTCTCAATCTTGTTTAATGGAAATCTGAGAGAATATGCTCATTATGTGGAAAACTGGAATCTCTATTTATTGGGTTGGTGAAATTATGAAGCTTATGCTCATAATAGCTGTCTTGATGCAGTCATTTTATAGAAATGTGAAAATTTATTTTGTTCCACTTGCGAAAATATGAGAAGTGCATTTGAAAGTTGCTACTTGGAATTTGGAAGTCCTAACTCCTAAAAGTTGATATTCATATTCATGTGTTAGATGTGTAAGTAAATGAGAATATTATGGTACGTGAGTAATTTTTCCCCCTACTTTTCATGAAATTGGTGATATTCGGAGTCTGTTTTGCATGTTGCATGTATAAGGTACACAACTATGTCCGCCTCTAGCTTGCATGTAAAGCTAGGTATGTTGTTTGCACCTAGTATATGCTAGGTATGTTGTTTGAACCTAGTATGGTTTGCTTTATGATATATTCCCTATACTTGTATTGCATGCTTAACTGTATGATAAGGACAATCTATTATATGCCTTACTTTTAGATGATTTTGTTGGCATCATGAATAATGTATTCTTTAGGCACTGTTGCCTTTGGTTGGCTTGAAGTAGTTCCTTTAAGCAGTTTACACGCATACCACATAAATTCTTGTATATTTACATGTTCAAAACATAAACTTCTATTTTTACATACATGTTGCCTCTTGGATGAAAAGACATATTTCACTTTTAAAGTCATTTTGAAGAATTTTAAGAATTTTGAAGTTGTAATTCCAATTACAGGTTTAACATAATTTTTTTATTACAAATAAGGGATGTACCATTTGCTAAATTGTTTAGCCAGAGTTTTGTACCATTTGCTAAATTGTTTAGGAAGAACAGATTCTGCTGCACAGATTATATAATGAAAAAAAATCCAAATAAGCTGTTTACAAAACACACTAACCAAACAGCTAAACTGTTTATTCAGAACATGGGCAAAATGATCAATTTTTCACAATCAGCTGTTTTTCATAAGCGTCAACCAAACAGCCAGATAGGTTATCCGGATCAGCTGCTCATCAGCAGATTATCAGGATAAGCTGCTTATCAGCAGAAGCTGGATAAGCTGCAGCTGCCCCAAACAGACCCTAATTTTTATTCACAAGAGAGTTTTTAGCGTAATGCATATTGACCCCTTATAGCCATGTATGTCTCTACGGTTATGAACCCTAGCGGAGGCCGGCTCTCCACCGCACGTTGCACTCTCCTCGCGCACTCGCTCAGCCCAATCTTCTGCCCAAAATCTAAAAAATTGGGAAGTTTCTGCATAGATCTATCTTCTCCTAAACAATTTTAGAAGAAAAGCAGATTTCCACTCCCATCACCGCAGATTCGATAGATCCCTGGTTGAATATATGAGAGCTAGAGACCGTGAATCTCAGCTTGGTTTCCCCTTCGTCGCTTCTTCTTCCCGACATGAAAGTCCGGTTTTCTTCATCCTCCATCGCCGTCTTTTCATTTCTTATATGTTCCTTTCTTGTAGCATTGACTGCATCGCCTGCACTCGCCAGATCCATTCCCAAAAAAAATGGTCTTGGAAGTAAAGGAAATGAAAACGAGAAGAAGGCTGACGAGGAGTGTGAGGGTCGATGGATTCACATCCGGGAGTTGCCGGCGCAGTTTAATACAGAGCTCCTCAGCAGCTGCAAATCCTTCCCAATATTCACCGACGACTTCTGCCCCTTCCTCGCCAACCATGGACTTGGCCCCCGCACCCACAACCGCTCCCTCTCCTGGTACCGCACCGACTCCCACTACCTCGAGCCCTTCTTCCACCGCCGCCTCAACGAATACCCCTGCCTTACCGCCGACCACGCCCGCGCGAACGCCATCTTCGTCCCCTACTATACATCTCTTGACGCCCTCCCTTACCTGTACTCCCCGCATCTCTACAACGATTCTGCACAGCACGGCCTCAACCTCCATCGCTTCCTTGTCGATGACGATAATCCCCAGATCTGGGCTCGCCGCTCAGGCCATGACCATTTCCTCGTGATTGCCCGCCCAGCCTGGGACTTTTCGCAGGATCCAGCCTCCTACCCTCCTTCTTGGGGCACGTCCTTCCTCCACCTCCCTGCCTTTCTCAACCTCACCGTCCTCACCGTTGAATCTCGCCCAGATCCATGGCAGGAGCACGCCATCCCCCACCCAACCTCTTTTCATCCAGCCACTCTCGATCGACTCGAATCCTGGATTGACCGCGCAAGCCGCTCCCCCCCCCCCCCCCCCCTCCCTTTCCCCCGCGGGGGGGGGCGGGGGGGGGGCGCCCGTATCCGAGCGGAATGCGAGAACCGCACCGATGTCTGTCAGATCGTCGATTGCTCGGACGGCGCCTGCTCCCACGACCCGATTCGTTACATGGTGCCAATGCTCCGCTCGCGATTCTGCTTACAGCCACCTGGCGATACCCCAACACACACGACGCTCGACGTTCGACGCCATCATCGCCGGCTGCATCCCAGTTTTCTTCGAGGAGATCTCGGCGAGGTTGCAGTACAGATGGCATCTACCGCCAGATGACTATGAGAAGTTCTCAGTATTTATTCCGAAAGAGGAGGTTGTGTTCGGTGGCGTCCACGTAGCCGACGTGCTGGAGGGGGTCAGCGACAAGGATGTGCGGCGGATGCGGCGGAAAGTACTGGAGCTTGCGCCTCGTGTGATGTATCGCCGACATGGCAGCTCGGCCGGTCTCCGTTCAAGGAAGGATGCGTTTGATGTTGCGATTGATGGCGTGCTCCGCCGCATCAAGTTGCGAAGCGGGTCGGGGGAGCCGCTTCTATTCGACGATGACAAGCTCTAGTTCATGGACGGCTTGGTTGAATTAAAGGTATAGTTTTTTGTTTTTTTCGTTTTGTATATTTATATTTACTGATTTCTTGGCATTGTTTCGCCCACTATTGTTTAATTATATGAGAAGGAATATTATATGTGAACATGGATATGAAGTTGAGCAGTGCGCAGAGGAGTACAGTGCGAAGTTAGAGAAAGATCTGAAGCTTATATGAAGTTGAGAACAGACGAGAGAGATACAGGTGTAATGAGCTCAGAAAGGAGAAGGGAAAGCCATCATGGCAGCTTGTCTTGGAACAATTTGATGTTGTTCTTCTAAAGACTCTGCTAGTTTCAACAATTTGTTGATGTTCTCGCAGAGCATTTCATGATTAAAAAAAAAAAAGGATAATGTCTCAAAATTGGAAAGTATTTCAGAAGTAAAAATGGCAGGTTCTTCATGAATATTTCCAAAGTGAGGTTGGGCAAGATTTGTTTTTGCTGAGGTATTTTGCTCTTCGAAGAACTTGTTTTATAGAGTTATCTATTTAGATTCTTAGCGTTCATGGCTTCTAAGTAGGAGTTTTTGGAAGAAGAGTTCATTTTGTAGTGATGGATTGTTGATGGAATTATATACGCGAAATTAAGTAGCTTTATAAATTGGGAAGATCTACTTACGTGCCACTCAATTCTTATGTATTTATATATCTAATACATAAACTTCACATTTTACATATTTTCGAGTAGTGCATAAAAATGTGTATTTGTTAAATCTCATCATTCATGAGATTTATTGTATTTAATGATTTATCTTAGCCCACATACCTTAAATCTTGAAACATACAACCAAATAATGGATGGAGGAAAGCAAGGTGAAAGCCATCTAAGATTGGGAGCATCCTACCAAGGTACACTAACTAAGATCCTTCTTGGGACTTATTAACTACCATCGGCGATTCATAAAGGGCTACTGCACAAGAGCTGCTCCGTTGACGGACTTACTCAAGAAGAATAAGTCGTGGGAATGGAAAGGTAAGTGTCATGAAGCATTTGAAGACCTCAAAAAGGCAATCAGCGAAGAGCATGTACTCAACCTTATTGATCATTTTAAGGTATATGAAGTGCACACTGATGCTTCAGACTTTGCTATAGGAGTTATACTCATGCAAGACAGACACTCAATTGCTTATGAAAGCCGAAAACTTAATGAGACAGAACATTGCTATACAGTCCAGGAAAAGGAGATGACAGACATCATACATTCTTTAGAGTATGGAGACATTACTTGCTCGACTCCAAATTCAAGGCCATGATAGATAATATTATCACCGGCTACTTCCATACGCAGAAGAAGCTAAGTCCCAAGCAAGCAAGATAGCAGGATTTTTTGGCAGAATTTGACTACACCTTGGAGTATAAGCCAGGAAGGCTAATGTGGTAGTAGATGCACTAAGTTGAAAAGCAAAACTTGCAGGCATGTCACAAGTCTCTAGCTCCCTCATGGGCAGAATAAAAGAAAGTTTGACCTCCGATCCAAAAGCCCAAAGTATTATTACTTTGGTGAAGGAAGTATAGACCAGGAAACTTTAGATGGATGAAGATAGCATTTATGCTAAAAGACGACACATTTACATACTAAGGTGGGGCAACTTAAGAAAGGAGCTAATCAAGGAATTTTATGACTCTTTATGGGTAGGACATCCAGGCATGAAGCGAATCCTAAGACTTCTAAAAATAAATTACTATTGGTTGGGGTTGAAGGCTGGGATAGAAGATTATGTTCGCAATTGTTTTATATACCAACAAGAAAAAGTTGTCCTTCAACAACAAAGGGGGTTGTTAGAACCGCTACCATTCCCTGAAGACCATGGGAGAGCGTCTCTATAGACTTCATCTCTAGCTTACCAAAATTAGATGGACTTAGAAGCATTCTAGTTGTGGTGAATAGATTTAGCAAAGCATCTCAGTTTGTCCATTATTGCACCCACCGACTGTACTGTCGAAGAAGCTGCAAGACGCTTTCTATTCAACGTGATAAACTATGGGGGATACCACAAAATATCATCAACGATTGAGGTCCTCGCTTCACTGGAAGATTTTGGACCGAATTATTCAAAAAGTTGGGGTTAGATCTAAACTTTTTTACAAGCTTTCATCCTCAGAGCGATTGATAAACTGAGAGGATCAATGCCCTCTTAGAGCTATATTTGCGGTACTATGTGAGTGTCAATCAACAAAATTGGGCCAAATTGTTTGATGTGGCGCAATTTTCTTTCAACCTTCAAACAAACGAATCCACCAACAAGAGTCCCTTTGAGATAATCATGGGACAACAATTCATAACTCTCCTCTCTTTTACAACCAACTATGAGGAAAAAGTCCACCAGCCTTCGAGTTTGTTAAATCTTAGAGTGAGCAAAAGGAGCTAGCTCAATCAAGATTACACAAAGCCGCAAAGAAGATGAAGAAGTGGGCAGACAAAAAATGAAGGCATATCGAGTTCAAAAAGGGATCTAGTCCTTGTGAAGCTTCTAACCAACAATTCAAGACATTTCGGAAGGTGCATAAAGGATTGATTTGAAGATGCGAGGCCCTTTTGAAGTAATGAAGCAAGTGGAAAATGTCTCTTATAAACTCAACCTTCCACCAAAATTGAAGATACATCCAGTCTTTCATGTAAGCATGTTGAAACCTTACCAGGATGACATGAAAGACCCTTCAAAAGGGATCTCCAAGCGAGCGCGTATAACGGTAATCTCCTCCTTCGACAAAGAGAAATACTGGCCAACAGAGTGATCAGACGACGAGTGATGCCAACTAGGAGTTTCTCATCGAGTGGAAAAGATTGTCTGATAGCGAAGCTAGCTGGGAGCACGAAGACACACTATGACAATTCAAGAAGAAGACCCAACAATATCAAGAGGGGAAGCGCAATGAGGGCATTGCGAGCTTAAGTGGGGGAGAGTGTCACGCTCCACTATTTACAAGACAAACATAAGATGGAATACTCTAGAAAAGGCTAGATGGAGGAAAGCAATGTAGAAGTTTCTCCCTCGTTCTAGAGAATAGAAGTCCCGAGAATAAACTAGAAAGATCTAGCGCATGTATGTACATAAAAATGGTGTAGAACTATCTAGAAACTAGAATATTATAATATAATCTAGAAACTTCTCTTGGAGAGTAAACGAGAATATTATAGTGTTTTGTGCTTTAAGTTCAAGTGTTGCGAGAGTTAAGCTTATTTAGTGCTAAGAAAGAGCACTAAAGTCACACGGGTGACTTGAGGAAAGTTAATCCATGACAATTGCTTCATGGCAATCTTATCTTGCCCATGTTAGCCGACAATTTTGAAAAAATAAAAATATTTTTACATATAAGTATATATTATTATTATTATATTTATAAAATGTTAACACTTAACTTATTTTGTTCAGTTCGTTGAGTACAAGATTCTTAAAATTGTGGTCATCGGTGATATTTTTGGATGCATAATTTTAACTTAATTAGTCTTTTTAATTGTTTAATTTAACATATAAATTAAAATTTTAATTATATATAATAATTATATATAACAAATAAATATACTTGATTATTCTTTTTAATTATTAGTTTGACAGATAAGTTAAAATTTTAATTATATGAAATAATTATATATAACAAATAATCAAGCTTAATTAGTCGTTTTAATTATTTAATATAAGTAAAGTTATTTTATTTTATATAATAATATTAATTTTTTTTATTATTTAAAATATTTTAGATTGAGATTATACTATCTAATGAATTTTATATAATTTTAATTTATTTATTAAATTAAATAATTTAAAAGATTGAATCAGTTAAAATTATGCATGCAAAAGCATCTACCATAAAGCTTAAACCCACGACCAAAATGTTAAGAATCTTGTACTCTACCACTTCGTAGATAATTTCACCTCCTGACGTGACGAAGATAAATTTGTCATGTCAGCAGGTGATTTTGCATGCTGACGTGGTAAAATCGTCTGCTGATGTGATGATTTTGTCTATTTTAAATATTTTATTTTTTTAGCGTTTCTATGATTATCTCGGAGCATCCCTCCAATGATAGAAGTTTCACCCTCCTGTAAAAAAATGCTAGAGAAATATTTTACCATGTATTGGAAAATAGTGGTATAAATGTAAAAATTTCAGTATAGGTGTTAGATATACTATGAATTATATGAAAAAGGAGTTTATTTAATGATGACTGATTCTGAATGGCTTCCAATTATAACTTGAAGCCAAGGAACTCATTCAAAATGTGCAAGTGAATGCCCTAAAAAGCAAGGAGAAAAATATAGATGGACAGAGAAAACTATAGAAGGATTTGTCCCAACCACACAAAGAAGGCTTCTCTTAATTTAATGTTTTGATTTTCATATAAAATTGATATGTTTTAGATACTATCAAAGAATTATTATTTTTTAATTAATAACTTATTATTTGGGATTAATGACATATTACTAAGTTTAAAAATACAATGATAAATAAATAATTTTTAAAGTTGTGGTTACATACAAATAAAATCGTGGTCTCCATAATTTAATGTATGGCAGTGATAAGCCTTACGTATTCTGTAATGTATATTTGATGTTTTTTGGAGTGATTTTAGGATTCTTCTGAATAGTATCTTCAATATGTTGCGTTGCCTAAGTTGAAGTTGCCATTTTGTTTCCTACCCTATTCACCCCGGAGTATAAGTAAATTTCGTATAATCTTCACTTCAAAGGATAGCCCATCTGTTGTAACTAAAGTGTGCACTCTCCAAGGGCATTCACTATGTGAACACAAAGCTATAACTTGATGTTTGTTACAAGATTAAATTTTATCTTCAAAGTTATTCTTAATGACATAGGATCGGAGAGCATTTTTGAAAGCAATAGAATTCTTAAAAACAACACCATCCACAAAATCTTCATAATCTCCTTGAAATTGCAAATGTCAGATGTCGGAACTATATCTAATGCCCTATTGTCATTGCTTGGACCTACATCTCATGATTGCATAATCACTTACGCTCTCTCATAAGTTATAACTACATTCTCAACTCGACCTCACCCCTTTGAACTTGCATTTATTACATGACCGAACATCATCACGTGCAAGTAAGTTGTAATCCTTTGGTGTAACTCCAATAATATGATAATATAATTTGAACTGGTGCCCCCTTAAGCAACCACAAATCTTTTTAATCACTTCTTCTAATGAATGAAGATTCAACGCATTTTCTTTAATCTTCATAGTTCTCTACTTGCCCCCATTATACTTATTCATCTCTTGGTTTTTGACTTGGGTTCAAATTCCACCAAATTTAAAAGTTATAAGCAAGTGATCATTTATATCAGCTTGTACATCTAAAATTTAGAATGATGGTCACTCTATTGTAATAAATAAAATCTAGGTTAGATAAACAAATAATGCATTTCAATGATCTATCTTTTTGTTAAAAAAAATAATTTTGCCAAAAGCTACCTCAGTCTCTCCATGTTCACATCCATGCTTCATGTTCATATCCATAAGTTAAAAAAGTGATGAAATCTCCTCAATAAAGTTATGATACAATTTAACTGCAAAAGACTTTTCATATCATCATGAATTATGACAATATAAGTTAGTATTTTACGTGACAATCGATTTATATGATTTCATTAGAAACAAAGTTGTTATATCAAAAGCTAATGCGTGACGACTAATTACTTCTCCAATAAAAGAATGTTACACTTCCAAAAATAACTTTATCATATATATATATTGGGACAATTCTTTCCTAATGATATCCTTACCTGGGTGGCTTCAGTGTCACAGTTCTTCATATAATAAAATGCATAATAAGACTACTATTATAATTTTTGCTTTCCACAAATAACATCTTTATCTCTATGTCTCCAATGCAAAAGCTATGTGGTTACTAAACAAAATACAAATGCAGAGAACCTTCAGAGTTGCTAGAATTGATTAAAGATGAAAATTCTAGACTGCCTAATAGCAGTATTATTAATGAAAAATGCATTGTAGCTTAGAATAGTCAAGTGTCCATTCTAAGTTAACCTTTTACATAGCCTTAAGATCATTTTGGCTTTTGTAAATAGTCAAGTGACCATTTTAATTCTATCCTCATCTAAGTTGAGACTAACAAACGACTGTGATTGAAACCAACCTCCTAGACTTAGCCTACTTACATATCTAAAACTCAAAACTTTACTTTTTACATTTCTACCACCCAAATCTTTTATATCACATAAAAAATACCACTATTTTAGCTTTTAATAAGTGAAATACACCTTTCCATGCATAGGTACAATGACATATATAAGTAAAAATTGAAGTTTAGGTGTAAAATATGTAAATACATAGGAATCAAGTGTTATGTATGTATATCTTCCTTATTGTGTTTGATCCAAAATTGATTCATGTAGGCAAACTCATTTGGTAAGGCATGAGCTTCCTCATGATTCTAATGAGAAAAGATTCCACAGTGACAAAAGATTCCAATCGTCACCAAAGTCTTTAACCATGCTTACCACACTACAATGATCCTCTCAACTTACTAGAAGATTTAATTCACTGCCATTTAACTTTCAGAAAATTGCAGAACCTTGCAATATAGAACAAATTAAGATCAATTGTTGTGGCATGGTGTCGTGAATTAATGCAAATTAAATGACTTTTGTAATGATTGTTGAAATGCAGATGACTAACAGAGAAGATAGCATACCAATGTGGAGAATATTAGAAAATTATGGAAGATTTATAGGCATAACATTCAATTCTTACGTATTTACATATCTAACATCTGAACTTCAAATTATACAAATATGCCACCTTTCAGGAATGCCAAAC